TTTTGGTCACCATGTGCGCTAGCTGCTCCCGGGAGGGTACTGAAAGTTTGGTGACAATCGGCGCAGCGGTTCTCGAGATATATCGAAAAAACTAAAGGGGGGGGGGCAAAAAAATGCCCGCCCCCCACCGCCTGGAAGGTTAAACATCCCTTACGACTCCGAAATCTCAGGCCATCACATGCCCCGCATGGCCGGTGGCACACGGCCTCGGAATGAAACAGGAGGACGACATGCCACCGCGCGTGGTGTGCGTGGCGGTCAATTTTGCGCCCCTGCGCGGCCGCGAGGTGCCGCCGGTTTCGCCACAATACGGGAAAGCGTAAAAACGTCAGGAGCCAGCCAGCCGTGCCTCCCCTGTGGAACCGCGCCCAAGAGCGGCCCGAACTCGGCCTACGGTCATCGCAGCATGGAAAATGAACTCGCTGATAGTGACTTTCCATTTCTGATTCAGACAGGTAGATAGGGATAGGAGTTCATGCAGTCGTGCTTATAGACCAAAACACAACTTTTGCACGAAGGCTTTAGAGCTCTGAGATAAGACGGTCATCGGAGATTCGTACTATGTAGATAAAACATGTTCATTCATCAATTATTCAGTAAACGAAAACGCATCCATCTGAAAAGTTAAATCAATCTTATAAAAAGACTAGTGTTCTGACTTCTGAGGTTGGATGGTCATCGAACATCCGCACTATACATATACCTATCCCATGCACGAAAATGCATCCATCGGAATAGCTATAGGTAGTTCAAGCTTATAAAATGATGATAGGCACTGAAAACGGTTTCTAAAAAGAGGAGAATGTCGGGATATTGATAGACACCTCCACACATTGGCATGGTGCATTCATTTTTAACGGTATTTATCGTGAGCCGATCAATTTGTTTGACCTGTTGGTACCTTTGGAAAGGTTTTGGAAGCAAACCCGCTTAGTACGTCAATTTGATTATAAACGGTGACACTCCTCCAACCCACCGATATGACTGTCCACCGTTCATCGTCCACTGTCCACGGTACCCGTCATCTGGAATGACTGTCATTTTCCGGATCGATCGTTCATCGCCAACCCGAAGCTGGTATGTACCGTTCACTTCGCCGTATCGTGTCGCACGCTGCCAGATCGTCCCATATCGTCGTGTGCTGCCAGATGTGCTGACTTAACCCTAGAACGCCTAGAGGGGGGGGGGGTTGTATCAACCCCCCCTGAGGTTTTTTCGAAGTGCACGCTAAACGGCTCGTCGTAGCGGGCTGAAATTTTCAATACTCTCTGGGGCAAACTTTGCGCATCTTTTGCTGAAAAAAAATTGATCGGATCATGTCAGGTCACGGAGTTATGACGTCATAAGAGGTACAGCCTCCGGCCGACAGTTACCAAACGTGTGCGCCGAATCCCTAGGTTTTCTGCCGGTGATACCCACATTGTTTGATGGATCATGATGAAACTTCCCATGCATGTTGGGGCAAGCATTGGCTATCGTGTGGTGCAAGAAAATTGACCGGGTCAGGTCAGGTCACGGAGCTATGACGTCACAAGAGGAACAGCGTCCGGTACTATTTTTGAAAAGCGCCCGAACCACTATTTTGCTAATTCTTGTCACCTCAATGGGAATATGCAGCAATATTAGCTTCTATAGGGAGCAAATGGACCTCCCAAATCCAAAAATACAATCAGATTTCAAAAATTTAAATTTCGATTTTTCGAATTTCTGCCGCCGACTGTGACCTTGCCGACTTCCGGCGCTCCCAACGCGCCATTTTTAGAGCTAGGGAAACGAAATACATACCAAACGATAGAGAATTGATCAAGGAACACGATAGTGAAGGTTTCAAGTCGATATCTCCCACCGTTTTGCCGCAATCGCCGCGGAAAGTTGAAAAAGTTTGATTTTTTTCGGAAAATTTGACCTTTGACCGGTCATAAGTAGGTCAAATGTTGACCTAGGACCAAAAAATATACCACCAATCGCGAGATCTCGTTGAGAGCAATCCGTTGGTTTTTTCCGCTAAGCTCTACGACCTTCCGTTTCGAAACGCCAGGGGGGGTCGTAACAACCCCCCCTGGTCGTTCGTGTTATGAGAAATGGACTGGTCGTGCGAGGGTTAACTACCGGAGGCGATAGGTCTACAAATACGGCCTTGGGTCTACACTCGTAGGCGGCTTTAGTACCAGGCTGCGCTCACGGCTCACATCACGTTACGCTTCCTCGCATGCCGTCACGAGCGGTATCACGATGTCACGCATAGTCACGTCGGAGGCCAGGTCACGAATTCACGTAGTCACGCAGTCATGAAAAGTCCCATCAAGATCAGCAAGGTCCTCCATTCACGCAGACTGGATGACCTGGAGCCCTGGAGTCGCTATCCCGCGGAACATTTTGCTTATGTATGGCTCGGGGCAATATAGAATCTTACGACGGATAATACAGGGATCACTACAATCGCAAGATGGAGAGTTAACCCGGCAGTTGCTGGGGTATTTCGCCACCCACCGTTTGCTGGGGGGGGGGGGGGCGTTAAACGCCCCCAGCCGATAACTCGAGAACCAAAAGGCGCAGCGAAACGCACGAGGCGGCAAACGAAAGAACGCGACGAGACGCTTCAGATGAGTACTTCAAAGTTGAATTTTGAGGTCACAGGTCGGGTCAAGGTCAGGTCAAACACCTGAAATCGGGCTTTCAGTAGCATGGACTTCAGGACTTCGCAATGGGCGCCTCTCGTCATAAACTCTGTCAAAACGGTGCACAATCCATCATATAAGGCCTACAAGAGTGTCAGCTCCATGTAGGGGTCAGTCAAGCATAGGTCAGGGTCAAGGTCAGGTCAGCCGGGTAGGCACACATCCCCGAAAATCAAAACTGATATTCGCAGCCTGTGACACATGTTGTATGGGTAATTTGGGGCGTAGAACACGATGGTGACATTCATTTTATCATATGTGCACGTGTTTGGCTTAAAAAGTTCAATTTAAGAAATGCATGTATCATGGTCGTGAAGTAGTCACGAGAAATTGCCAAGATTCAGTTCAAGATTTTGGAAAATGCGGAACGATAATCAATAATCGAAGATTGCCATTTGATTGTCCATGGTATTGGCAGTGTAATGGCGTTTACGGCATGTCTGTATGTCTATTTTGTGATTTTATATGATTTTTTGAACATATGCCGTTTTTGGTCGAAAACTCAGAAATCATGGCGTCACTAAAACCTCGATATCTCAAAAATTTTCCGACCGATTTTTTTTAAAAACTTTGTCACAATAAACTTCACTCAATTCCCTACAGGTACCCAAAATTTGGCGCGCCGCAGGCGCGCCGTTTTTATGCTATGGCCCGGCGAAAAAAGTGGGGGCGTTTAACGCCCCCCCCCCAGCAACTCACGGGTTAAGGAACCGTCTAAAATCACCGGAACAAGGAAATGTGTAAAATCACGCATAGGTCAAGAAGTGCTTCCCGTCCGCCTGTGGATGCTTTGTCATCCGTTTGAGGTCGGGACAAGCGTACATAAGCTCGTAGATGTCTCGAGATCTCGGAAGGAGTGTCGATCGTTTGAAGAGTCACGCAGGAGGACGCTCGAGCACCCTCCCCTTCCCCGACAGCCTCAGAGTCGGGAGACGTGGGCCGGTTATGAGGAAGCATGACAGACCGCTCCTCGTCTCTGGGTGAAGGACAAGGTTCGGCCCAGCCAGAAAAGGACGGCCTTGCTTTCATTGACAGATGGGATCACGCCTGGCCGATTCTCTATCGCCCCAGCCATGGCAGTGATAAGTGACAAATGAGAGACCGTGAGGGAAGAGACCTTCGACCTCAGCACCTTTTTTATGGACATTTTCAGAACTTTTAATGCGAAATATGTGTAGGTATACTCCCTTTCCCAAAGCATGATCGATGCATTTCAAAGCAGATAGGTACCAGCTATAGCCTGCTGTGTATGGAACAGGTGAACAGCGACGTGAATACACACAACAGAATCTGTCCTCCGATTAGAAATCCGATTTCAACATTCGAAGAATTTACCAAAGCAAAACTAATAAGGTCATATTGCAAACCCCAAGCAACAATTTCAGCGCAACCAGTCACCATTACTTGACGTTCATCTTTCCTGACATCTGAAATATCGACACGAAACAGTAAACACAACCAATTACAACATAAACTCGAAATCAACACGAACGCTAGTTTCCGATAAAAAGTCCGTTTAATGTTTTGTAATTTTTTGCGGTCATTCGCGAGCATCTACATTGCTAATTGAAAACGAGGTCGGCATTGACACACAATCGCTGGCCGCATTGTATCCAGTTTGTATCTTCCTCAGCTCGAGTAGTATATCCAGTTTAGTGGTATACCTATACTGCCTTAGCATTGACGGTGGGACTGCCTCCAGCAGGGGGGGGGGGGCGAAAGTGAGTCTACTACAGTTTATAGTGTCACACTTTCTTGCTCCGCATCTGAAGTCCGGTTTGGTGCAAACTGCAGAGCGACGAAGGGAAACCGCATCAGACCTGTTTCCACCAACGATTGGTTTACAGGTTAGCACCTACATACAGTGCTGTAATCTTGTTCTTTCTGATGAATGGATGTTTCAATGCAACGGGAACCCCGTAGGAATGAAAAATAAACAGGTATTACCAGCATGAACAGAAGAAATTGTCGGAATTCAAACTGTTATGCAAGAAATGTCTTCCAGCTCGACCGGAAACACGCTGCACTACCTGAGCTATGCACATCGCTAACATTCGAAGTATTACGTAAGCGATGCGCGTAATATTCAGAGTCCGCCCATTCCATTTCACTTAGGAATACAGTATGCATATTGCATACCTATCGTCAACTATCCAGCGAACCAGGAAGCGAGTGAGAAAGCAAGCGAAGAAGGTAGATACACTCATACTGGTGGGTTTGGCGCGTTAATTTATGTCATTCGCCATTAACATAGACACTGGTTCTAAGCCTGATGCTTAAAAACACGGGTTTGGTTTCCAGTTATTACCTTACACGCATCTAGATTGTTTAACATGAAACCATGTATTTCTCGGCTCGGTCAAATATTTACCATATTTTTTTACAACATGCCCAGCATTCGCCACACAACAAGCACTGCTCTGTTGGAAGCGGTCACCCGCCGCATACGGCAAGCATAAGAGGTCCCTGGTGAGACTCCCTGAATGGTATTCCCGCATCGGCACAGGAAATCCACTGTTGGATAAATGGACACCGCGTACAGATAACTGAGAACTCAGACAAGAGCGAGACTTGCCCAGAGGAGAAAACACGCCAGCTGCCGGAGCTCCCAGAAGCCTGGCCGAAGGTAGCACGTCTACATTGACGCAGAAAGATTATGTCCATTTTCCGGAAACGCATCTTTCAAGCGTAGCTTCCTTTTCTTCTGCCCAGCGGCAGGAAAACAGCTTTCAGTTCCTTGCTGTTAAGAACACAGCCCAAACATAAGCATCCAAAATTCACATATTCCCATCGGACGCTCATTCGCCTCCCTCCCTCCCTTGACCCGCTTCACGCTCTCTATTCTCACTCCACCTCCGGGTCCTCGTTCACGAAATCCTTCAGCATTTCGGCCACATCCGGCGCCAGGTCGTCATCGTTCATGGTCTGCCTTCTGGGCCGCTTGGTCTCCAGTATTTCCACCTCGTCACTCTCGTCGGGTGCCGGGCGACGCGCGGTCGGTCGGCTCTCCTCCTCCCCGTCCTCACTACCTCCGAGGACGATCGACTTCTGGTCCTCCTCCATCTCTGCCAGCTCGACCGAGCGCCGGCCGTCTGCTGACGCAGAGCTCTCGCTGGAGGCGATTGTTACAGTGGTGACGGACGCCGCCTCGCCCCTACCACCCCCCGCAGCCGCCGCGGCGCCCGCTAGCCAGGCCGCCGGCGGCTTCCTCTCGGGTGGCGAGGCCCGGCCCCCGCCGAGGCCAGCTGTGCTTGCAGCGGGTCGCGGGGAGGCCCGACTACTGCTGGGCACCGATGCGCCCGGCGGCGAGCCCGCGCGGCTGTCGGCAGGGGTCGCCGCCGCCGCCGCTGCTGCTGTCACCGATCCCAGTCGGCTGCCCAGGCGGACAGTGTCGCTCGAGCCGCACTCACTGACATCGCTGGGGATGTCTTTGGCGGCTTCCGACGCCCCGCTGACGTCATTGGATACACTGGTGACGTCAGTGGTGACCGCCAGTCCGCCGGACGGCGCGGGGAACGCTGTCACTCCGTCCGCGGCCGCTGGATCAGTGACGGGGGCAGCTGCGCCGTCCGCTGGGTCGGTCGATGAGGGAGGCTTGCTCCAGGCGGTCAGGTCGACAGGGAAGAACAGTGTGGGATGCGTGGGCTGGACGATACGAGAGCAGAGCGCCTGACTGTCTTGGCACAGCATCGACACCTGGCGACAGAGGGCAGAGTAAGAAAGTGCCACTGGGATGAAAGACAGCAGATTTGCAGCTTGACCACAAAGTCTTTTGCTATACTGGATCCTTCACTCCCGTCGTAGCAATTACTGATAAACAACTCAAACTCGAACTGTACTCTGGCGCCTGCAGAAACATTTTCCCACGGCATCCAAGGTCGATAGAGTAAACGAAACACTACCAAAAAGCAATCAGCAAAAAGGAAACAATGGCTATTTACAGCAAAACAATAGGCACTCTCACGAAAAAAAACCTCATTACTATCTACCATGAAACGGCATTGATGATTTCACGTCCCGTTGCCCCAACTAACCATGCTATCCTCATCTCTGGCTCCGTGCGCGAACAGTCCCACGGCGAACTGGACGGGGGCCGGCCAGGCCGGGTGCGGGTCGGCCACCAGGGCACGCAGCAGGCGGTACAGACCGGCGCGGCAGGCCGGGCGGTCGTACGGCTGCGGCGGCGCTCCAGTCGCTCGCTGCACCTCCAGCAGCAGGCCGACACACAGCTGCTGGGCGGCCCGGTGTGCCGAGACGGTCATCAGCGGGCCCAGAGCCGTCACCAGCTGACAGAGCACCTCCAGCGCGGCCAGACAGCGGCCCGGGCGGCGCGCCACGGGGGCCGACTGGCGCGCCGACAGGTCCGCCTCCAGCCACTCGCCGGCGCCGCGACGCTTCTTCTTGCATGGGTTGGTGGTGACGCCGTTAGTGGCCGCCGGGTTGGTCTGCGACAGAGGGGGAGGGAGTGCTAAACAAAACGCTTCTGTGCAAATTGACAACCAGGGGTCACTTTTTCTGTTTCATTGTAAGAGATGGAGAGGAGAGCATGAGAACATTCGGCTCACACTGTTGATTTTTTTTTTGATAACTACATCGCTCTTCATAGAAATCGTTTTTTTTCAAAATAGACGAAACAAATCAAAGTAAACCCGCACCACCCACCCCTACCTCCACCTTTCCGGTCCCGTCCCGTTCTCACCTGCAGTGTTACTTTGGCCGGCTGTGGCGGTCGGACGTCCTCAGACAGCATGGTGATCAGCTTCTCCGCCTGGTCCTGCAGGCCGCAGCCGGCGCCGGCCGCCGTCAGCCAGGCGCGCACCGTGCGCAGGCCCTGCCGGTGAGCCGCCTCGGCTGCCGGGGAAGGGCGCGGCGCGGCCGGCGCCTGCAGAGCGCTCACAAGGAGGCCGTTCAGCGCCGTGGCCCGCTGTACCAGACTGACGCCGCAGCTGCAGGAACAGACGAGGGAAGAAGGTCGAGCAATCAGTCAAATGAGACAGGGATTCAAGCGAGAAAGAATCAAATGCGTGTGAACTGAAAATCAGCGCGAGAGTCGGCAGGTTCAGAGGAATGTCATTTTCGTACAGGACCATGAGCAAATTTTCAACTGATGATGACGTCTTTAAGAATGTGAACAACTGGTTAACTGTTCTGGTGCTTCCATGAAGTATACAAATTCAAACAGCAAATCGCATGTTATTCCAGCATCCTAAGCCCCCGAACCCTGATCATTGGCCATCCGTTGCCTCATGCTCACCAGACAATGAGCGCCTCGAGCATCCTCAGTGCAGCGGCTCGGACGTCCCAGAAGGCGCGGCGCGCCGCCTGCAGCTCCATGGCGGCCGACACGGGAGCCGCTCCGGCCGACACGCAGCGCTGCGCCAGCTCCAGCAGCGCCGTGGCCGGCACCGTCACCGGCTGTTTGCTGGCAGAGCAGAGCATCAGCGCCGCCACGCGGCAGACGGCGACCACCCGGCGCGCCAGCCGGTACCGCAGCCGGATCGGGTCCGCGCCGCCATCAGCCGACACCGCCGGCAGCTCCAGCTCGTGCTCGCCGCACTCGGGCACCTCGTAGGCGCGTACCTCCACCACGCCGTCCAGCAGGCGGTCCAGGTGCGCGTGTGCCGCCCGCAGCAGTCCCCGCATCTGACCGGCCCAGGCAGCCGCGTAGGCCGCGCCGCCGCCACCAGACGGGCCCGTGTGAGGCAGGAGCGCCACGCAGCGGCAGGCGGCCCAGGCGACGGCCGGTTTCTCGCCATCAAACAGCTGCAGCAGGTACTGCGTGAGCTGGCTGCGCTGCGCGCCGCAGCCGCGCCCAAAGTGCAGCAGCACCACGCGCAGACAGTGCAGCGAGGCGAGTGTCGCCTGGTCGGGAGATTCCAGCAGCGGAGTGACGATTTGGGCGAGCGCTCCGCCGGCGAGCAGCCGGTGCGCTTCTTCCAGCCGGGTCTCCTCCGCCAGCAGACAGGCGGCGGTGCGACAGGCGGCGTCCCGGCACCACTGCTGGCGCGGCGCGCGCAGCAGGCCCCCGAGGAACTGGCACCAGCCGGCCAGCCGATCGGCCAGCTGGGCGGCCGGCAGACGCGGCGCGCAGTGGCGCATCAGCGACAGAGCGCGGCGCGGGTCCGACAGCCGACTGGGGCCGGTGGAAGCCGCAGCGTTGGCCTCACGTAACAGCATGGCCAGTGAGTCAGCATCCTGTATCAGGGGAGGATCAGTGCATCAGTTAATTAAAGAGAGAAACCGATGGATCGATATTATGAGAATGAGAGAGAGAGGGAGAGAGAGAGAGAGAGAGAGAGAGAGAGAGAGAGAGAAAGAGAGAAAGAGAGAAAGAGAGAAAGAGAGAAAGAGAGAAAGAGAGAGAGAGAGAGAGAGAGGGAAGAGGGAAGAGGGAAGAGGGAAGAGAGAAGAGAGGAGAGAGGAAAAGAGAAGAGAGGGGGAGTGGAAGAGAGAGAGGATGGGGTGAGAAGAAGAGAGAGAGGGTGATGTGAGAAGAAGAAAGAGGATGGGGTGAGAAGAAGAAAGAGGATGGGGTGAGAAGAAGAGAGAGGAGGGGGTAATAGGAAAAGAGAAGAGGGAGGGAGAGAGGCAGAGAAACAAACAGAGAGGCAGAGAAACAAACTAACAGAAGATAAACACAGAGACAGCTTAACATATTCTGAAAAATAACAGACTTTGAATTAAGAAGATAACCATAAAGTATGGTACACATGGTTCAACTTCTATTTAGGCCTTGTCTGGTTTTCCAGCCTGGTCAAAATACAGGCTGATGGAGAATTTGACTCTTAGCTGATGCAACTTGCTTTTCAGCTGCCATGCTTTGCAGTCAAACTATGAAATAAAATGACTATAAGTCAAACTGCAAAGTGCTAAAAATATCAACTGAACTTCAACGGAACCAGCAACATCCCAAATGTCTCTAAGCCAGACACATCATGGAGCAAAACAAATAAAGTAAATAGACAACAGGTCAACAACAGCCACTCACATCTGGCAGGTTATGCAGAGGTTCATGAAATGGAGGTTCAGCTTGTTTATCCATGGACAGTTCAGGCTGCGGCTCCACAATGACCTCAGAATCGGTGGCACTGGTCTGACCATTAGGTAATGTCGACACACCACCTGCACCAGTCAGCGACTTAGACTCCATGTGCATCTGGTGCCTCTTGCGGGCTCGAGAGGCTGCATTTCGGCCCATGGCTGACCTGTGGAGCAGATGAGGGGTGATAAAAAATATATTGGATAGACACATGCCTACCAGTTAAGCATAGAGCAGAGCCCTTTCTCTTTCAGAGGCCAGTTTTTATCTGTTCTGAAAATGTTTGCCTTAAGTCAACCATTGAAAGACAACATCAGCAGCTTATTTATCATCTTTCTCATAAGTTGAAGTGGGAGACTGAGCTGAGACAATTTCAGAGAATCAGAATAAACACCGCTGAAAATTCTTACCTCAGTTGGGCAAACTGCAGGGAGGTAATCTAAATAAAGATTAATCAGAATTTAGATTATTCTATGCCCATATTTGGGCATTTGTGCAGTCCTCTGCAGAAACAGCTGTGTAGTGGCCAAGGAGTGACAGAATCACACCACTCTTTCACAAAGCACAGTTAACATCTCAAACTGCCTCTGAAGCACCAAAACAGCTCTGAGAAAAAATTTGGGGTTCCTGAAATATGATGGGGAACATTATCTAAATTAAGATTAAAAATCCAGCCTCAATGGGCGAATAATCTATATTCAGATTATGTCATCAGCTGGCTAATCTTTATTTAGATTACACAATCAGCTGACTAATCTTAAATTAGATTACATTCAGCTGGCCTAATCTAAATTAAGATTACATATCTAGCATCCAAGAGGGTAGGCATAAATGTTAAACCCTAGCATTATAATCTCACAGTATAAGGCACTGGAACGTCATGTCCTGTGCAGGGAAATAGAGCCAGTCTAACGTAGAAAAGAAAAATACAGCACATTACCTGGCTTTCTGTAAGTATATTTAAGCTATTTTAGAAAATAAAACACAGAAATAAGCAATCAATATTTGTTTTTATTTAAGCTCAAAAGCCTATTCAAGGTATATGCATAATGACATGTGAATGTGGAATACCAATGACCTGGCCTAACAATGATATCGTCCCACGACTCTTCCTGTAACACTTCCCGTAACTACGGAGGTTACTCAGTTTTGGTATCCCTTGGGACCTACGGCACTTTACAAAGATAAAAAATGCCTAGCTTGTTTGATTTCCCGCAATGATGTCATGTATTGCAGCCCTGTTGGGCTCTGACTGGGGTTCCGGGGCATGCAACTTTGAATAATTCATACTTCTGAGTTTTGGGTTAAAATACCCATATAGCATTTAAAAGCATTGAAAATATAAGCCAAAACTGCACCCCAAACCACAAACACACAGACTGTCCTTTCAAGGAAAAATATAAATCAAAATTCAGAATTATTTCTGGAAATATGCTGCCATAATACAATGTTTACATTTTCAGACAAGTGTCCCAGCAACTCATTTCTACTCTCTCAGACAAAGGTTTATAATGAATTGGCACCAACGATTCAGGATATGTTGATTGATGTCCTAAGTTGTCAAAATTAACAAAAACATGCCATGCCTGACAATATTTTGTCAAAAAAAACTAGGTTGAAGTGACTGGGGGTGCAGCTGAGCCACCTTCGTAACAACACACTCACCGGTTTTGTACGCCAATAACGCATTAACGCCACACTACTACCACCCAAATTCAATTTTGCTGGGTAAATAAGATGTTACCATTATTTTGGTACCACTTTGGCACCATTCCATCGAAAAATATGGGCGGGAAAAAATTATTACCGAGAGGATACACGACGCCACGGACAGCGCTAGATCGCGGCCATAAATCGCCGTAGCCGAAATGAAATAAATGCGTTGTATTATACGCATTTTTTCGTAGTGGGATTGAATAATTGAATATTTCTTATCTCAGAACTGCCGAAAAAACCTTTCTTAACATTTAATGAGTATGATAAAAAGGAGTAAAAATAGATTAATGTATTTGCCCGTTCAGCGGTGACCTCGACTATTCACGTCATAACTCCCAAAGTCCAATCTCAAATGTGCTGGCCAGTTCGCAATCTGTAGGATCAAGTTTTGTCTGTCACTCAACAAAAAAATATCGTGGTTATGAGCAGTCCTTCGATGGTTATGGGGCGTATTTGGAATTTCCGACCTCGACGAGCGTCTGTGGTAGAAAACCACCACTTTGGTAGGGGAAACTACTGCTGTCTGCTACAATTTGCACTGCATGTCAAGCTATTGTAGCGACATCTATGCATATACATTTCCGACCCCGACGAAAATCTCGCGGCGCTTCGCGCCGACCCGCGCCGCCCATTCATACTGGAGACCAAAAGAGATTATGAGTTCAGAGTTGTGACAAATACCTAAAGCAACCACTACGTATGATGTATACATTAACAGTTAACTATCAGATTGACGGCATGTGTCAACAATTATACCCTGATAGAAGACCGGAGGCTCTGGTTACCAGTGTAAAAATGAATACTTCAGACCAGGGGCGCGGGAACTACTTTCCGACTGGGGGGGGGGGGGCACACCTAGGGTATCCCCAAATCTAGTTTTCTCACCGGTTTTAGGCCACAATTATTTTCACCCCTCGGCTTTTTCAACAAAAAAGAAAACATTTGCAAAAAAAGGTGTGGTATTCCGTCTCAAAGCTGTGGGGGCACCGCCCCCACGGCCCCAGAGTTGGGGGGGGGGGGCAAGCTGCCCCCACTGCCCCCCGGCTCCCGCGCCTATGCTTCAGACGCGTACCGCGTAGGAATTCAGCTCAGAATCGTTGAACAGATAGTGCATCGGCCCGTGAAAAAGTACGGTAACGATACCTAATTTTGGGTTTTTAGTCGGCCGATCCGTCCCCCCTGTCGAAAATCTGTGGCGACGCCCCTGGCAAGTGGCAGGTAGGACAAAAGTACGTATCGCAAATGTACGTACAGTATATAAAGTACGCATGGACAAAACTACTTCAAGGACAAAAGTACGCATGGCAAAAGTACATACAGTACCTATAAAGCACGAATGGATAAAAGTACGTCAAGGACAAAAGTACGTATCGAAGAAGTACGTGGTGCATTATTAAGTACGCATGGACAAAAGTACGTCAAGGACAAAAGCACATATCGTAAAAGTGCGTACAGCATAAAATACGTATGGACAAGAGTACGTCAAGGGCAAAAGTACGTATCGCAAAAGTACGTCGAGTAAAGTACGTATGGCATAAGTACGTCCATAGGCGTAGGAACAGGGGGGGCCGGGGGGCCATGGCCCCCCCCACTTTTTAGCCATTTTTTAAAGTAAAATCTTTATTTTTTATTTAAATACAAAACTAAGAGCAGGAAATGATTCAGCAAGGTGAGATGAGCACAAAACTGCAAAGAATTTCTTCATAGGGGTATTGGGGCTCCCACAAAGTGACATTGAAGTTTCGCTGGCCCCCCCACTTTTCGTGAGGTTCCTACGCCCATGAGTACGTCAAGGACAGAAGTAGGCGTATCGCAGAGGTAGGTACGTACAGCACAAAGTACGTATACCTAGACAAAAGTACGTCAAAGAAGAAAATACGCATCGAAGAAGTACGTAAATTATAAAGTACGTATATCGCTAAGGTACGTACCCTTGCTGACTTGCATAGATGTCGCAATCGGTCGCAACTACAGCGAGACATGCAGTGCAAACGGTAGCAGACAGCAGTAGTTTCCCCTACCAAAGTGGTGGTTTTCTACCACAGACGCTCGTCGAGGTCGGAAATTCCAAATACGCGGTTATGGGGGGTTTGAATGAGGACATGTCGGAAATATAATCTAAATATTGATTATCGCTCCTTATATGGTCATCGCTCCGCCCATTTTGGTGACGTCATAATCTCAAATTAGATTAATCTTATTTTAGATTACCTCCCTGCAGTTTGCCCGACTGACCTGGATAACAATATACCTACGATCTCTTTATGACAATTGACTTATTATTTATTTACCAGATCTTTACAGCATCGAATGAGGATCGACATGAAATGGATAAGGGGAAAAACCAATTACCTTGCCCGCAACCTAACACAACAATCTTGATAACAACAATCAACTTTTTTCCCGGCGACAGCAACAGCGTGTATTTATCGAGCATTGTAAATGTAACATGTGCGCCAAAACCAGGCAGGTCTAAATCCAACTCTATCATGGAGATTTGGTCTACTTGCTAGAAGCTACAGTTCAACTAGCAATTCAACTAGCTTAAAAGAAATAAATTACAGTTTTGTGTGTTTTTCATCTTTGACCAGTTTACTTTTGAATAAATAACCTTTTTCGCCTGTTAGATTTATTGAATATAAAAATAAAGCTTTTTTGGAACAAAGCAAATTTATTTCAGAATCTAGTATGAAAATGATAAATTATTCAATGGTTCAACTGGCTTAATAATTAAAATCTAATTATAAACGTATCCGAAAAGCGAAAATATCTATTTTTCTTTTTGATATGTATTCAAGTTTAAAATAGCTTTTTGCTGGCCTTGAAATGCCCTCTCATACAAAACGTCTCTTGCGAGTCTATCCAAAATGCGACCTTGCGTGGAGCCGGCGAAGCTGGGGCTCTGGTATTAACTGGATAATTCGCCAGCTGACGCCGTATGGTGGCGCTAGTGGAGCAGCACCATATGACGTCAGCAGAAAACACCGTGAGCAGCTATGAAATGGGAGCGAGCACCACGGAAATATCGAAAGGTGATGGACATCTACTGACTTTGGTCATTCAAGTACCACCGACACCATACAAAAACCATATAATATCATCTAGACTGATTCTTGAATCGATTCGTTCGGGTATTTAAAACACATAAAAAATGTTTGTTACCAAATTCTGAAACAGTATAAGGATATTCTTGTTCCTTACTTTTACCTTGTGGAGTACTTTTACAATACCTTTTACTTGCTTTCTAGTGCGCCCATCACTATCTTAAAATCTGGATTGCAGCGCTGTAGGAAAACTTTTTTCATTTGTCATTTCTTCCTATTTTGAGCAGTGATAATTTATTTGGTTTTATACATTAAATAATGAAGACGGCTCCTAACTTTTTAGGGATCTGCAGTGGCCCAGAGAGCAAAATCAGATATTTCCTAGAAACTTGGGGCCACTATTTTCTTATATGCTAAATAATATACAAATATTGACATGTAAAGAATGATACGGGTGTATAATTCTGCAGAAATATAAATTCAAAGTATTAAACACTTTTCAAGAACCTTTTTAAAATCTTCCATAATGACTTCTTTCAATACAAGGTGGAAGCAATTTCAGTTAACAATAAAGCAGCACAAGGCAGTACATGGCAGTACCTTGAGCTGCGATGATCCATAACCAATCGGCACCTGCAATTTGATCTTCGAGATGTACCCTGCCTCTGTTCCCTGACTTTCCCTTTTCGTTGTACCGGGTGAAGTGAATATTCTGTGAATATTCTTCTGACAGTCAGTTTTTAGTCCTACATTATGTTGTCAATCAGATTTAATTGAGTTCAAAAACCGTCGTAGTCCGTCTCATTCGCAGTCTACATCTCCACATGCACACCCATACATGCTAAAAATTTTCACTACGTATGTTCTATGTACCCTGCAGCGTACCCTGATGAAAAATGTTTTGTTGAAATCAGAGACACTTCCCAAGGTAGGCCGTAGTCCATGGCCATATATTTAAGTCAAAACAGATGAAACAGATAAACACAATTCCAATCATCAAGTCAACCAGCATCGACAATCTGCACATAAGTTCTAAACCTATTGCAAGACTACTTTGTATTCAAGCTTTGTATTGCAGAAGGGTGGAAGCTGCATGGAATTATGCGACAATTTCAGCGTGCATCCACGCTCGAAAGAGCAGGGTTAATTGTAACAATACCATAACAATAACGTAATTGTAGGTGTTGTGATTCGGTTGTCTCTTGTCTGTGCTGGCCATTGCGCGGGCGGTCCAGCGGCGGAACTCGGCTTCGCCGCCGTGGCGCGCTGGCAGTTGCTTCTTCTTCTTCTTCTGCATCCCACCGCCAACCCGCTCAGGGGGGCGGCGGGTCGAGCGGCAGCTCGGTCCGCCCAACATCCTCGATGAAGGTGACGACCTTCGTCGCCGGGCCGCCGAGGACGTCGACCAGGCGAGGGTCGACACCCCAGCGGCGGCGGCGGGCCGCCTCATAGGCCGGACAATCGGTCAGTAGGTGCGCCGCGCTGTCGGGCTCCCCGCACGCGGGGCATTCGTCGTCGGCTGCCAGGCCAATCTTGTGGAGCGTGTCACGGGTCAGCGGTGATGTGCCGGTCCTCAGCTGGGACAGCGTCACCGTGACCGACCCCCAGCGCGCCAGGGAGTCGTGGCCAGGCGTGGGGTCCGGGTACGGGTGGGCAGCGGTTGCCCTCTGTCGCGACAGCTCCCGGACATGGCGCGTGACGGCGGCCCGCGCACTCGACAGGTCGATCGGTGCGCTGTCTTGGTCGCCCGCCGTGGCCTCGCCAGCCAGGCGGTCGGCGGTTTCGTTGCCGTCCAGCCCGGCATGGCCTGGCACCCACTGGAGCACCGTCTCGGTGCCGTTCTCGGCGAGGGTGCTCAGCAGCCTCCAGACCTCGGCGGCCAGGGCCATGGTCTGGTTAGCTGGGCCGCGGCCGAGTAGTTGGAGCCCAGACCTTGAGTCGGTGAGGAGGCGGACCGACTTGATCGATGCCAACTCCCCGTCCTCCAGGCCGGCCACAGCCGCGAACGCCTCGCGCATGGCGGTCAGTTCTGCTCTTAGGCTGGAGCAGACCGCCCCTGCAGGAGCGCGCACGGTCTCTTCTCTGTTGAGGTGGTGGAACTGGATCAGCGCCTGCGCCGCCCTGTTCCGTCCCGCCGCGAGCCGAGCCGTCCGACCAGATAGTGACGTCCGGGTGCGGGAGCTCTGCAATGGCTCGCAGGGCAGCTTCCCTGCGGACTGCAGGCGGGTCCGACCGGCGGGTGGCCACGGGTAGGTACACCCTGAAGGTGATGCCGCCGCGGTGGCCCAGCCATGGCGGGTCGCAGCTGTAGAACGCCGAACCTGTAATGCAATAGAATTGCAATTGTAACAAAGACCTGCATGGTCAGCACACATCTGCAGTGACTGTCATCCCAAGTTGGTATGAATTGGAACAAAGTTGGGTCATGGTAGCAGACGTAGCACAAGCTGTCGTGATATGCCATACCGTAGGACTAGGTCGTAGGTTGTAAATTTTAGGTTTAAGGCTGTAGGTTGTAGGTCAGGTTAGGTAAGGTTGGGTTAGAAAAACCCATTCTCGTGCATAGGGCAGCTTGTGCTACGTCTACCTTACCAATACCCAATTTGAATTCCCAAAATTGATGGCAAACAGGCTTTTTGTATAACTAGTGTGGTTAATTGTTCTAATCCCCGCTGCAATGTGAGGGTAACTGCTTTTCTACAATCACAATATTTGAATTCATATAGGTAGCCATAGGTACGTTTCACATAGGTTATAGGTATTCGACCATAGCCTCTCCGATTATGCCTTTCACTCGATACGAGCGGGACCCATAGGCCGAGTGGCCTTATAACCCGATGACCAACTAAGGTAAGGTAAGGTAAGGTAAGGTAGGTGTTTACATGTTCAGAAAATGATACAAAATATGACACAATTATAGCTGCAACTGGATAGTGGATACCAACCTCAACTAAAAGTTTCTGCAGCCTTATAACCTAACACATGACTAAATTGCCAAAATAAATCCCTTAGTACAAAAGTTTGACTCTAAAATAACAGAACTTTTGCATGCAGACCCTGGAAACTGGAGGGTTTATGAAAAGTAACAAAAATAAACATTCACTAATATCAATAACCCGGTTTACATAGGGTTTGTTGCAAGCTTATATCTACGTCCGTGATGTTGCAAAAGATGCCAATGGTGCTTAACAATTTACAAAATGATCCCCTCTAAATATTTGAAGACCACTGCATCGAAATTATCGCCAAATTAACAAGCTAGAGCCTCGTCAAAAATGCTATGTAAACCGGGTTAAAATGTTGTAATAAATTTCATATGTAGCATAAGCGCCAATACTGCCTTCATTTACAACTTTGCTACTGTTTTCCACTCACAAACGCTGCCCTCCGTGGACAGCAGCAGCAGCAGTGAAACGTCACCCGTGGTGTGACATCATCACCCATGACGTAATGGAAATCCAGTTGTTACCAAGGCCCGCGAAGCTGTGGTTGGTTTTGTGCCGGCCGCCTCTCTTTCACTTCCGCTCCCAGCACAAATTTGCAGGTAAGGATTTCGCACTGGATTATATCAATATTTTGTGCGAGACGTTTGCTTCTGTTGTTGGCCATTTTAAGTGTAGTTCCTTAATGAGGCCGTTGTTTGAAGAAGGTCGTGCTGGTCATTTCCCAATGCCCCTTGTGTACCGTGCAGGCTTTTTTGTTTGCCCCGCCTCTTTTTCTCTGAAGTGTTTTGGATGGAATTTCAAGTTGTTTGTCATGTCCATATTGCATGTAAAATACTGCATGAAAAGTTATTTTTTTACCTACGTCTTCCAATGACAGCTGTGGACGATTCCATGACGTTTTTTCGTCTAGCAGATTTTCGTCGGACATTTTTTCGTCCGCAGATTTTCGTCCGACTTTTTTTCGTCTCGCATTTTTTCGTCTGTACATTTTTTCGTCCGTGCAATTTTTCGTCGGTACATTTTTTCGTCTGTACATTTTTTCGTCCGGACATTTTTTCGTTCGTATATTTTTTTCGTCTGTGCATTTTTTCGTCCGGACATTTTTTCGTCTACAATTTAAACCTAACCTAACCTAACCTAACCTTACCTAACCTAACCTAACCTACTGATGTTTGCCTACCGGGGGATAAGGAAAAGGTTTCTTGCATGAATAGATTGCAAGCAATGGTAAGTCAAATATTTTTAGGTTAAGTGGTTATGCATCAGGCTTCAGGCCTTCGGCCTGAAGCCAGATACACAACCACTTAACCTAAAAATATTTGACTTACCATTGCCTGTAATCTCTCCTAAGGCATTGCCTTCGGCACTGCACTGCT